GCATGTAATGTTGTGGTGTTAATGGTTGTACTCGGAGCAATCCGAGTTGTTGTATGTTATTGTTACATAATGTACATTAATGACATGCAGATCATCACAAAACTACTTCAAGTGTGTGTTTGTGGTAAGTGTTGATCTTTAATAATATCACAAGGGTGCCTGAAATGTTTTATTTCATAATTTCCTTAGAGATGGTTGCTGGCTTAGAAACTCTGCTTTTCGAGGGAGAGGATGGCAGGGGAAAAATGCCCAAATACTCTTTAAATGACCTTGACAGTGGCATTTTCCGGTGAGTTTCTTATATTGTATCCATCACTTGTAGAAATCGTGCATCCAGACATACTAATTCGGTAGGAATAATGTTAGTAATTAGTATCCTAAGAAAAAGTAATAAGCATTTGTCTTTTCATTCTTTTCTTTCACTCTCATTCCAGTGTTGCTGGGGAAATTTTTGCTGCAAGTCTTGCACAGGGTGGTCCAGCACCAGCGTTTTTACAAGAATGGTGCTACGATTTCCTTTTGACGGGAGATCTAAAAAACATTACAAGAAATGATGTACATGACATGGAATTTTCATCTTTGATCAAGATGGTACATTGCTTAACAACTGTATTATTATCAATTACATTGTTAATTACTTAACTTTATTAGCCAATAGTCAAGTCATTGGTAAATCAATTCACTTAACATTAATTCATGATTAAACTATTCCTTATTTAAATAACAATGGCTACTGTTACTCAGTGATGGTGTAAAACTATGTATGTTTAGAATGTTTTCTTATTGATTTCCTTCAGGTTGAGGAATCTTCAGATCTGTCATCTTGCACAGAACAGATTATCAGATGTGGCTATGCAGGGCCTATTAACGAAGAAAACAAAGACAAAATAACAAGGTTCATGTTATATTCATATAATGAAAACTTTTTACATTATACATCACTACCAGTTTGTCTGTCTGTCCACTACTTAGCTGCCAGAAAGCTTAAATCTATTGTCTCATGTTTTGTTGAGCACATTAAGGATGTCATTATGAATATTATTGACCCTGTAAATACTGATGTCATTACCCTGACTGTAGACACCTGAATAGATGTTTTTGAGTGTTTTTTGTATTTATTTGACTGACCTGGAGCAAAAAAAAAAAAAACAAATTAAGTCAAGACAAGACACATTTTCTTGTTTTCAAGACACATTAAAACAAGACTTTGACATACCTTTCTAGAGAATCCGTCAATACCACCAAATATCACAATATTAAATCTGAGGAGAACAAAGTACACAAGGTTTTAGCAGACATGATTGGAAAATGATTAAAAACATGCTTGCTATACGTGTGTATTACAGAGGGAGCACAGGAAAGAAACTCACCTGATTAATTTATGGTTGGTATCTACATGAACCAGGGACAGAGGTGCAGGAACACAGTAGCTTCTGCGAGCTACAAAACCAAGCTGTATCATCCTGGCCAAAATTCCAGCTCCATCCACCCTGTGCATAGTAGCCTTCACCCTGTGCCTCTGGCCAACAGCTCACCTTTAACCAG